GCGGTTTGATGAGGCTTGTATGGTTGTCAAAAAGTTAAAGGCACGATTCACAGAAAAAAATAACTGGCAGGTACTTTTTTTGCTGTGTATTTTTTTGGGGTTTTTTTTTTAAAATCTGTAATAAGGAAATTAATACAGACGAAGAGTAAAATCTTTTTTCGCGTTCTTTATTACGCAGGTACTAATTATTATTTCCATTTATGCTTTGCTGAATTGAGAAGCAGTTCCACCAAAGAGTGTAGACTGTAAAAAAATAGATATTGATTTTGATGAGTTGATGAATGAATGGAATTTCAATCTTTTTAAAACTTATTCAGTTATGATTGCTCTTGAGTCAAAAATTGCAATTAACTGTGAATAAATAAAATCGCTTTAGCACAAATGTCATTTAATTCTTTTTAAGTGTGCTTTTCACTGGAAATTATGTGAGTCATTAATTGAATTTGATCGAGCATTTTTTTTCGGCGAGTGGATCGCTGCTGACCAATGGATTATAGTAATTGAACAACTAGCTCCTTTAGATGCTGGTCTGAGGTTTATTTATGGCGCTCTTAATAATTACTAAAATTCACGTTTTTTTGTCCTTCTGAAATCTCATTTGAATTAGTGGGTTATTATTACTTGCTAAGCAGATGTTTTTCAGAAAAGCGATTTTGCTACATGCGAAGGGAGATCTTCGGGAGTCAATAAATGTAGCGAGGCAAAATGTAGAAAAAATGAAGACATGTAAAGATCTGCGGTTGAGATTACGGTAATAATTTGAAGCAATTTTTTCTTCTATCGCATAATAGATTCCGAGCTGTTAGTTTCAACAGTTTTTCCATATTTCCAGATGTGATATAACACTTGCAATGTTGTATGTTTCAAACAAACTGGAACATGTAGCTTTATCTATTTTGGAGCAATGCAAAAACCTTGCTTGCAGGCATTCTTTAGATCTTTTTGAACATATAATCGTTCGACGAATCGCATATATTGATGTGAGCTTAAAGTTTTTTCTTGTTCAAGCACTCTTACTTAATCAGTATCCACGCTTCGAGAAAGCGCAAAAATTGTTCTTTTTTCATATACTATTTAAGGAAAATATGCAAGGTTAGTTTAGAGAAAACTGATACATTATACCTACTCTGACGAGTCTCATACTTTAGGTGAATAGAATTTCATGTTCAGCAAAACTGCCTCTTATTTTGTTTTAGGCAATTGAAGGGCGATTCGATAAAGCGCTTATGAAAATTGAAAGATGTAAATGGATCCTCCAAACTCGTAGTCAACCTTTAGAAAATGCCTTGTTACACATGACTATTTTCACGATATACTCCCGTAAAAGTCCGAAATCACCAGGTAATTTCTTGTGTGGTATTTGAGTATATGCCATTACTGACTGGAAAAGTTGTTTTACAAAGTGTCGGATTCTCCCTGGTATGTATTCATCAATGTGTTAAGTCTCAACATCTGATTCTATTTTGCACAGTTATAAAAATCATTTCGTTGACAATATCATACCATGATGTCTTCTCGATTATTTAGTTTTTGCTATGTCTATTTGTGTTACTTAACTTAATACAGAAAGAAAGGCATTATAGATTCTTTCTCACATCAGCTCAATGCTTTGGCTGCAGCTCGACGAGAATTCCGCCGTGCTTCTGTGCCACTTCTTGAAAAAACTGTTCTTTTCCAAGCTGCTTCATTGTACGATAGCTGCAAAAAAATTGAAGAGCGAGATGAATGTGCAACTTTATTATATGAAATGAATGAACGATATCCTGGGAAAATCGACTGGACAGTTTTGTAAGGTTTGGTTGAATTCCTAGTTGTTTGTGAAACTAGATTTGAAATATAAGGATATATATCCTGGTGGAGTACACGTGTACTGCTAGATGAAAGACATTATATATTGGAGTTGCAGCATCATACTGTATTACTCAAGAGTAGCAGTTTCTTGTGATGGATTATGTTGAAGATGACAAGTAGAAAGGTAACAATAATAATGCTACTTTTCTGTATTTCTGTTTTGATCTATGTTGCAAAGGACAAACCAAGGCACTTACTCTATAAAATAAACAAAACAACAAAATCAAATATAAACATATCACACGTTTTATATATTTTACGACTGAATAATCTAAACAGAAAAGTAAACTTAATTCAAGAATGAACTCATGAAATATATATTTACAAAGGTTGAGGACATGTAGCCTATTATTATGTCACTTCGTTTTTCTGTTTTATGAAAATTCTACTATACGAACATCAAACCATTTACAGACATAATTACTATGTATATATGTATCTAGCTTAAAGCAAAGAACAAGTTGCGGTAACTTTTTGCTATATTTCATCTCCAGCAGGAACTTTATGCTTGCCCCACGCATGGAAACATTTCGTGAATCTTCGAGACTCGTGTCCTTTTAAACTTAGTACTAATTTTCGTGGTCTTTCAGGCTGCTTCATTTTCATATGAGCAACATAGACCTGGAAATGGAGAGTTTTGTTTGTTTTTTCTTTCACTGCGTGCAAAATGCAAGTAATTCTCAACACAACAGGAAAAACAATGTAACCTGAGCAGCTTTGTAAGCTAATTTTAATTCCACATCGCTAGCATGATGTCCCATCCAGAGAAACACCATATCTCCATTATCCAAAATCATGATATCGTCATCGTCCAGATCATCCTACAACACTGATCAAATAAGAAATTTCGAGCTCAAGAATAAAGTAAATTGTAGCGGAAATCCTGTAGTAATCCACACTGCGACGTGTTAATTGTTTACATTACAACCTTCCGTATTTGCTTTAAGCAAGAAAAATTCGTGCTACAAGTTCTTTATCCCAAAAGGAACAAGTTTTTCTATACTTTTCATGACATAATGAAACATATGTGAGCAACAAGGACCACGACCAGTTTAAACGCCTATAATTACCTGGCAAAAATCAACGGTCTTTTCCGATACAGCAAAATATCCTTTCTCGTTTGTACAACGGAAGAGCCTAGTGAAATTTAAAAAGTCTCCATTAGTGTCATATTTTTTACGGCCTCCGAGACATTCCCAAAATTTTTCCGGCTCCTCACCTTCCTTCACTACTTGGACTGGAAACTCGCTGTTTCGATTAATCAACTCATTTGCAACCTAGAAATGGAACTAGAAAAATAAAAAGTTTTGTGAATTATTAAGATAAAACAAACATCTAGCAATGTACACTCATGATCTTCAAATATAAAATAATCAGTTTAAAATTACCTGCAAACAGAGGTCATGCTGATTTGGATCACTCTTACAGCCACACCATACGAATACTTTACCATTTGTATTATCACTATCAGGCGCTTTGAATGGAGCACGAAGAATATAACAAAAAGCAGAATTGAGTTGATTAGCTACACAATCGACTTGAACAGTTCGTGTACACACAGCTGAACCGTTTGCTCGCATTAAAAATAACTCTGGCCAATGCCCTGAAAACAGCAAACCTTATTTATAAGTATGACCATTTCAATTTTATTTTGAGAACAGTTCTTGTGAGAAAGTGGTCAAGGAAGTAGATTTAAAAGAATTTTCCAAAAGTCATTTAATTCAAAGTCATTCAAAGTAAGTTATGATATCTTAAACAAGTTGATAAATATTATAGACACAGAGTTAAACAAGTTGATAAATATTATAGACACAGAGTA